TGTGTGTGTGTGTATATATATTTAATAGATTACAATTACACAGTTTCACTATCTAATAATACGACACTCTGTAGTCTCACTCAGTGTCTGTGATTTTGATCGGTTACACCACCATCCTATAATCTACGCTACCCAGTTACACCACTGAAAATGCATTTCACTGCAACTATGCGTAGAGATTTAGGGAGTTGTTCATTTAAAAAGTAACAGCCGCAGTAAAGCTGTAGCCTATTTTACACTGATGGTTGAATTCTACAATGAGTTACTAATTGGGAGGGGAGGGGGGTCCACACAGATCAATTAGGTTCTGTTAAACCACTAACACACACACACACCAATTATTGCTTCACTTCTGGTTTATAATGATTTATAATGATGATTTTTAAAACAAAACAAAGATGCGGGGGGCGTATTGGTGCTTCTAGTGATACAATTTAGTAGCGTTGTCTCCAGAAATGGTGGCAGTCTGAAGCCCTGGTACTGCTGAGTTCACTACCCTCTGCAGTTCAGTACAACAGTTGCTTTTTGAGATGATTTCTGTTCAGTTGAAGCTGTTGGAAGATTATTGCTGGAGTCAGTGTTTCTCAACATCGGAGGTGGGTGAGTTAAGTGTTACCATGACCACAAGTCAAAATGGATATACACGTATCAGAATAACACTCGGGTTGACAAATACCAGAATTTCCCTTTTTAACAAGTTGGCTTGTGTTTGTGTCGTAGTGAACAGGGCTGCACTGTCGTGTCTTGTCCACAGACAAACAACCACGATCATACTTTAAAATCTTTTGTGTGTAAGTTAAATTTAATTAAAAATATAACTTTTCCATCGTTCTAAAGTTGTTTTCTAAAGCTGCTCTTTTTGTCTCTGAACCGCCACAGCCCTACTCATGACAACCATTTGCTTTGGTCGCTGCTCAGTCCGACAGCTGTGTGACTTTGTGTTTTGCTTGTGTTATCTGTTCGCTGAAACGTCTGCTTGTGGGCCGGATAACTTGCCTTTCTGGCTTATTTTATTATTGCGTTTTAAGACTTTAGCTGCCTTGTTGACATTTGTTCTGAACTGTGTGGCTTGCTTCTCTTTCCTTCAGCACATCCCCGTGGTGGGCAGTATATTCGGTGACTCCTTTTATGATCAGCAGTTGGCGCTGAGGCAGACCAATGCCCTCTCTCACCAGGTGACACAGAACGCACTAACGTTGAGCAGAACTGTTTTCTTCAGATAGTCCCTGACTTTATTCTCGGTTACAATCTGAAACATTTTTCTTTTTAAGCTGGAGCAGTTCAACATGATCGAGAACCCCATCAGCTCCACCAGCCTTTACAACCAGTGCTCCACCCTCAACTACACACAGGCAGCCATGATGGGCCTCAGCGGGAGCAGCCTACAGGACTCGCAGCAACTCAGCTACAGTAACCACGGCAACATACCCAACATCATCCTAACAGGTAGTCACACCTCGAGACCAGCGGATGATACACTTTTACCCTGTTTTACTTATTTGCTTGTGGCAGGTACACATCAAGCTACGTTCCACATACCTTGGCTTCAGCTGCACCGTACACGTTGTTGGGGTTTGTATACGTTTTCACACAGATACTTACAGAGTTTAACTACTTTCTCAGGTTGAAATTAGCCTCTACCCTCTTCTTCTTCAAGCAGAAGCACAGAAGCAAAGCTATCTGTAATTTTCTCTTGTTGGTTTTATGTTCCGTGACTTAAAGCAAAAGTATCCTCTGTCTAAGTGTTGCAGTAGTTATACTAAATACATGTGTAGGAATGTATTTATAGTTGAGTGCAAGATTTGATTACAGTAACATTACACTTGAGATCTCTGAGTGCGTCGACGTTGCTACAAATACGTCCGATGGTGCAACAAACTCGAGCGGTCAGACGGTCACACAGGTTGAAAACAAAGCCCCAGAGTTTTTTTTTGGGAAGACAAATCAAAGTTAAACAGTAAAAGATACAGCTCAAACCTTTTAGTTGTAAACATCCATCACAGGTTACAGAAAGACTTCAGAGGGTTGAACCTACTCAGATTTAACTCAGGGTTGTCAAGGGAAGTCCAGGTTGATGAACTCTGATCGCCTACACTGGTGTTAAACAATACTACGACAGTGATTAGTTAGTTGAGTCAACTTAATCTGAGGTTGTGCGTGTTCACATAAAAACACTTTTAATAATGGCTTGTGCTCCATATTTGTCCCCAGAAGAATGCACAGTGATAATATCAGGATATGAGAAGTGGAAAAAAAAAAAGCTGACAAACTAATCTCACTGTAGTAGGTGCCAATAAGGACAAAGAGGTTTGTTGGCAGCGCATTCGTAAGTGAGTAAATTCAGTTATCTCAGGACACTTTTCCGATAGAGCAGGTCTAGACTGTACAAGATTAAAGCGGTAAATTAATGAAAGGAATACCTCAGAATTTGACCCGTTAAATAATTAACAGGGTTTAAAGCAAAAAAGTGATACTGAACAGTTATCCGGGAGGAAATATGTGTTGAATTTAATATCATATGAGTTTAAAACTGCTCTATGCTAAGAACCCTGAATTAAAATCTCCTCTTCATCCTCGCTCCTTCAGGCTGAAGGTCTATCTGTATGAGTGTAATGCTATTGTTAGAATAAGTGTACCCTCAGTCCCACCAATCACCCTCTGGATTCCTCTGTAATAAAGCATTATATATATATATATAGAGAGAGAGAGAGAGAGAGAGAGAACCAATAAAAAAGATAAAAAAGCCTCTTTGATCCTTCTGTCATTTAAATGTAAACATAACAAATGCGTTCTGGCCCTAGAAGCTGGCAGAGATACTGAATCCCCTCAGATGAGAATATCTTTCATAGAGATCGTCGTCGTGGTAAACTAGAGGACTCAGACGGTCTCTTAACAACCTCGCCCTCCGCAGTAAGCCTCTGAAAGTTACACCTGACGTCACAGTTCCTCCTGATGTTACCTGGATAAGCCAGTTACCTCGGAGTACAGCCCTCTGGTCCAACGTATTAACTGTTATTGTGCCCACTCATGGTTTCCTGTGCAGTCTCTATATTCCTGTTTGATTATCGATCCATCTGTGATTGATGCCCCACTGGATCTATTTTTAGTCGAAGTTGCTGTGTTCAGTTCACGTTGATAAGTGAAGAATCGATAGCTGGATGTTACAAAAAGAAAACTAAGTTGATAAAATGATAAAGACTTGTTGGTGACTCATCCTGCACTTGGGGCCGTGTACTTACTGTGTCCATGAAACGCTTTCTCACTTATGACCCTGAATAATGTACAAAAACACAACTTATTATTAACTTCATTTACCGATTTCCTCATTTTATATTTTCTGGTTCCCTCTGATGTCCTCTAACTGTTCAGCTTCAACTCTCTCGTGATTCTGATGGACAGAAAACTTAAACTACTTACTAAAGTAGCTCACTGTTAATTAACTGCTGCTAACTGTATCTGTTAGTCCGTTAGTAGAACCGGGCTCAGCAGCCGGACAGCACCAGGATCGATCAGCCTCAGAGGCCGACAGGGAACAACGTTACAGGTCGTTTCCTGATGGAGAGATTGCTAAGTAACAAACCTCTAACTGTCAGCCGTGCAGCTAACCGAACTGATTCAGCCTGGCAACAAAACCACCTTGGTGCTGTGTCAAACTGGCACCGTTGGTCTCGGAGATTGTGTTCCCACATCTGGCCGTGCTTGCTGCTGACGATAGCTCACAGCACTATTGGCTAATATAAAGCTCCCTGTTTTTACAGGACACACAAACAGCACTCTGCTTTCTGTTTCACAGGATTTAGTAATTCTTTAAACTGGAAATAATCTTGTTTTTAAGGAGATTTATTCTTTTTGATTGTGTGTATTAATAATTATTTGTATTTTTTTTTTTATTGCTATAAATTAAATAATATTGTAAAATAGCAGCTTGATAAAAATATTCTGGATAATGTTTCAAACTCAGTATACTATACGAGGAACTGTTTCCAGTTACAAAATGCAGAATACCTCTTTAAATTTAATCTGAAGCTGTGTAAACGTGTTCACATGATACTTGTCGACGCGGCCCCGTCTCTCTCAGATGTCAGTACCCACTTGTTTCTCTGATGTCACGTATCTCAGTCACAGGGGAGTCTCCGCCGAGCCTCTCCAAAGAGCTGACCAACTCTCTGGCGGGTGTTGGTGACGTCAGCTTCGACGCAGACTCTCAGTTTCCCCTGGATGAGCTGAAGATCGACCCGCTCACCCTGGACGGACTGCACATGCTCAATGACCCCGACATGGTGCTGGCAGACCCCGCCACCGAGGACACGTTCAGGATGGACAGGCTGTAACGTAAGAAGCTGACTGTGGCCGAGAACAAGAAGAGAAAAAAAAAACACACTTGTGAATGGAGAGAAACAAAGGGCAGGATGAACCCTCTCCCTCGTTGCATGGCCGTCCAGCTGTCCGACCTCGCCCTCGATTCCGTGAAGCCCTTTGAAACGATGCGCCACCAAAAGACAACAGGGAAAAAGACATCCAGTGGCTTGCAGGGGAATGGCCTCGCTGTCGTTTTGAATGAAATTGGTCGCTCAGCGCTTTTGCTAGCCTGCTGTGTTTACAGTGTACCATTACATGCCACATATATTCCAAAAACGCACATTTTACTTTTATTTAATTTTTTTTTTCTTTTCATATCCACTTTAATATTCATTTTGTTGATATTTGCTCGTAGCAGGAAGCTGCTAGGACATTGGGCTAAACCGTACCCGTTATAACGGCAGTGTTAAAAAACAAACAAAAAAATAATATATATATATATATATATATATTCACACACCACAGCCGGTTTTGCTTGTACCCTGCAATCAAATGAATCGGTTTTCCCATCATGCCGTAACGGCTTTCTATTTCACACTCAAAGCTTTATTTTTACAACCAAATGTTATTTTCATCATGTACTGTATGTTTTGATGCTTTATGTATTTATATGTTCTATTTATTTATTTAGTTAAAGATTTTATATTCCATTTCATAATTTAAATTTGATGCCAAAATGCTCTCTGTAGGCATAGTGTAAAATTGCACTGATGTAATTTGTGTCTATTTATTAATTACTAACATATTTATATATGTGTTTGTTAAGCTACTTGGTTAATGAAGGAGTGCGAAACCTCCCCATAGTTGCTCTTTGGTGTTCGATGTGCCATTCTCTGATGTAGGACGTGGTAGACGTTGCCATGCTGCAGCCCAACGGTCAAATCATAAATATTATAGTTTTTAGCACAGCTCCAGATAATGCTGCGTGCTCCAGAAATGGGTTGGTTTTACGCCACTTGAATTAACTTTTTCTGAGAAAATCATCAGGTATTTCTATTTAACTAGAAAGCAAGAAAACACGTCCAAATTAATTTTCTGCCAGTGAAAAGCCAATATATATATCCAGACTGAACTTCTTCTCAGCGAAGGAAGACGTCTGTTTTTAAACACTAAAAATCTTAAAATCTTTTTAAGTCGTCACTGTGAAATCACCTGATTTTGCCTTACATGAGTATTCTACTGTTCTACTTAAGTGTCTAATGTGACAACGTATTTTCGTAACTTACTGTAACATTTTCTTGTATTTGAGAGGAACTTAACTTTTGGTCAGTGATATTTGTGGTTATGTTGTGTAAGGTTTGACAAATCAATGTACTGTATTTTGTATCGGTACAGTTTATAGCCAAAATTGTTGATGTTTTTTAAAGTGGAGCTAAAAAACAAAACGAAAAAAAATATCAAAAGGAATAGGTTTGAAGTGAGAAGGAGTGCAATTATGGGGAGGCTTTTTGCTCCTTGACAGGGAAGCTCTAACAAAAACGCTAATGACTTTTGCCACAGAGGTCATCGATAAGAGGAAGTACCACAGAAAGAACATGGATTTTCATAAGATGCAAGCTCGTAATTTGTGAATATACGGATATTTTTTATGTGTTTACTACATTTAGTAAACTGGAGGGAGTACATTTGGGCATATAAAGGTTCTGCTTACACAGAAGAGAGAACACAAGTGTATTTATATATATATTAAGTATTGTATGCAATTTTCCGACAGCAGCTCGGCCCTGTTCCATTCAGTGTTACAAACAAACAAAAATGGTCACAACAAAAACAATCAGGGAAGTAGTAGAGTCTAAAATTGTTTACGCCACCTTTTTAACCGGAAAATGTTTACACAAGTTTCATCTGAAAATATATATATATATATATATATATATATCGATATCATCTCTAACTACATCCATGACACATCCTCTTTTGCCAAAATGTGTAGAACAAATTACGTCAAATCACTTCAGATTTCAATGTGCATTGGCCTTTTGTCAGAGTTTCCCTGAGAGGTGTGTGTGTAGGTCCGTGGGATCATGTTTGGTATATTGTAATGTTCATGTACAGACGTGCTAATCATTTACTCACCTGAAAGCGCTGTTGGGAAGACTTTCCAACCCCTACAACCCCCACCCCCCTCCTCCTCCAGAAAAGGAATCACGTTTGTTTAACTGCACACCTCTACAGTTGTACAATTTGTTTCAGTTGGAGTGTTTATTGTCTGCTTTAATTCTCCATCAAAGGTTTTGTTTGCCTTCAACAGATCGGTGATTCCTATGCAAATGACACAAAACAAAGAACGACCCTTAAAGGAAAAATCCACTGCTGATGTATTATTGTTTAACAGGAGTGAAGCTGGATTTATTCTTCTACATGGTGTTGTAATGGAGGCTTTGTACCACCAAATAAATAAAAAAAAGTAATGTACACATTAGAGCCACTGAGGTAAAGAAAGAGGTGTTAGTGGTCAGATTGTTGATAGTGAACACAGCTTTGAGTGATTTAAAGAAAGGCTCAATATTCTCCTTTTCAATAACACTAGAAGAAAGCTATTGTGATCTATCGGAGTCATTTACAGTACACATCACAGTCCTCACAGCCGGTATTATTACTCTGTAAAAGCAAATATTAAAAGATAATGTAATTAAGAGTAAACTTTATTCCTATAATCTTTTGCTTCACATTAAAAAAACATCAGAAAATCATCACAAAACCAACATGAAACATCTTAAAGCATGAAAGAGACATTTGACTATACGGCTGTTTTTTAAGATGAAGCTTTACATCATTGCTCTGTATTAGAAAATGAAAGAAAAATGTACACTTGACTAGTTTATACGTATATATAACGAGTGCAGGACGTCCAGCGAGCGTTGCGGTGGTGCTATGACAATCAACGAGTGAAACTGTACAAATAAAATATACATATATATATCTATCTATTTCCACTTCAGCTAAACATCTCAACGGAAAAGCATAAATCCAGCTTTCTATTTGAAATGATGTAACATTTATTTTCTTTGTGAACCCTGTCAGATATTCTACTTCCTCAATTCCTCTCTTCCTGCGTGACTGTTGTCTAGAAAAGAAACCTTTTTCTCTCTAACCCTAAAGGAAACCGACGCCAAAACTAGCTCACTGTTGATGTTTTAGATCGATGAAACATTTTACTGTACTCGCTTTAAATATCTGGACAGTTGTCGTGGGCCATAGGAGAAAGAAAAATAAACCACTACAAAAAAAAAGGCCTAGAAATGACACTTTACCAGAAGCTGTTTTTATTTATATTAAGTTGGATTTTTCCTTTAAGTCACTGAAATAAATGTATATTTATTCCTAAAAAGATAATCCATGTGTTTTTAGCCAAACGTCACTGTCTCATTGCCCGCAGTGACTTTGAGCTTTCTTGTCACTTTCCTTCCTGTCATCCTGCTGAATACTCGTCCTTCGCACTGACCTTGTACATATACGCTATAGCTGAAACAAAATGCATGACTAAACCGACAGTCAAAACCTCTAAACGAAGGCCTTCTATAGCTCTGCAGGTTTGATTTGTGTAACATAACGCTACCACAAAGTCTAAAAGGGATGCATGTATGGGTTTCTCCTGTGCAACAGTTGACTCAGTTTCCTGTTAAGTGACTCTGTTACCTCCATCTCTGTATAATGCTACTTCACGAATGATAAGAGAATGTATTTTCTGTCGCAGTTTCCTAGTTGTTGGTTTTTTGCCAAATTACCTGAAGTTTTGGAGATTTTGGTCCCATCACAGTCGGACCAGACTCTTCTCTCTCTCTCTCTTTCTCTCTCTGTCTCTCTCTGCTCTGCAGTCGTCACTCTTTTCTCCTCTGGGGGAATCAGACTGTTGCTTGTTTTTCGCTCTCTTTTCTTCCTACTGTAGCATCTCACCGCGTACGAGTGTAAACAGTCGATTCTCGTGCTGAAAGAAACCCCCCCCACCCAAGTCGATCCGGCCCCCTCGCCTCCATCAGCACAACCTCTTGGCTTTTATTGAGAAAACTGAAGCAGGTTCTGTCTTGAAAGAGATTGCAGATCGGCACGTGCATCGTTTGCATAATGTGGACTTGAGTCCTTTGAAGCTTCTGCGTTACGCAGTCAACTGCATGACATGATAGACATTCTTATCCCATGTTATTTACAGTTTGATCTAGCTATACTGGAGTGTGTTTTAAGACATCAGATACGGTTGTTTTATGTTGTTGTTGCCTATCATGTCAGGTTTTGGACTGAGTAAAGTGTAACTCTGTGTGTTTTTTTTTTTCTTTCTGTTCTTGTGCAATGTTTAGTTCACTAGTTGCTTCGCACTTTATTTGTGACTTCCTAGCTTTTGAGCAGGGACTGTTCTGCCCGATGTGAATGCTGACTGTTTCACTCCAGATGTAAACTCCGGAGATATTTTCATGTCAAAGAAAAGATGAATTCTCTATTTTCCTTTGTAAACTATATTTTGGCTTGTCTTGTTTTTTTATCTGTGAATATTTTAGGGGATGCAAAACTAGAAAGGGCTTACTCCAGTGCAGCTTGTGCTCTCGTGTTGGAAGGGAACGGCACTCCGAATGTATTTCTTTGTTGGTTATTTCCCCCACACACACACACACACACACACATGAAAATCTCATCACGTTTGAGGGAGTCACAGTTCTCGCAGATTGGCCTTAGTAGTTAGTTGCAACCTCAATAATACTCAAGTGACGCAGTCTGCATCATTACTTTGACTACACATGCTGCCACTCCCAGAGTACTGTACGGTGCTGCAACACAGTCTCACTTCATGAAATTAGCTGGAACTCTAAAATGCAGGTTTCATTGTTTTGGACGTGAGGAATCTCTCCAGTACAACATGCTTTATTTTTCAAATGTTTCCGGCTGCTAAAAACATCTACCTGCAGGCAAAAAAGTAAAGAAACATTTGAGATGTCGCCTGTTGTAGTGGAGAAGAGTTGTTCACGCTGGTCTGCACTTCTGGTGCGCTTTCTCCAAGTTAGAAGTCAAAGAATAATGTTCCAACATACGTGATAAAGGTATTAAGATGCCTTTTTTAATTTGTCACATGTTTTCTTACAAGGTTAGCTAACAGCAACACTAACACAGGTAAAGATTTGACCTCAAGTTAGGCAGCTAATATACACCTTTGATTAAAGTGAAGGAAATGCAGTTATTAGGGTAAAAAACGTAAACTTTGTTCAGCAGGGTTTGAGGTTGTGTCTTTGCCAGATGCTTTCTTGGTGGGAAAACATTAACGTCTCACGTGTAGAACATGAATTTTGCATTTTGAGTCACTAATTTCTCAAACATTTGCTCAGTCTTGAGGCTAAACACTGAAACATGGAAAGCAAACTTTTTCCAAACAAGATAAACAAATCACCTCAAAATATATTTTCTACATCTTGTAAACTATTTTGTTTTAACTCATCTGCTTGTCTTTAGTCTGAGACACTACTTACTTGCATTACTTGTTAGCACAGTCATTTATGTTGCTGTTAAAAAGCAATGAAAGCTAAATCTTGTCCCAAACTGAACAAGCAGACGAGTGAACAGGAGTCCTGTGTTTAAAGGTGTATCCTCTGTCCCAGGATCAAAGGAAAGAGTTGCTGCTCGGTCTTTACTGCTTGTTTCCAGAGTGTTTTAGGTCATAAATTAAAATCTCCCTTTAATAACACAGGGTTTTCTAAATGACTCTACAGCTCTCTCTGGAAAAAAACAGTTCAAGTTCCACTTAAAGCTTATAGTGAGAATAGCATTATATCACTGTTGTCCTGTAAGTCGTAGTAAAAGATCTGTAGCTATTTATTTGTTGCCATGTGATTCTCCTTATGTGACCATTTGTTTATAAGATGAAAGAAAAATGTCAATTAAATTGAATGTGGAAGACAGATTTTTCTCTGCACATAGTCTTGATTTGCAGAATATGCTGATTAAAAAACTGTCCGATGTCATTTTACAACATCCACAGCGTGTTGCTGTGGACATGCATGGTGTTTCAATCCTGTTGTATATTGTCTTTGCTATCGTTTCTATTTTGTAATCTGTATTTCCAAATGCAAAATTTAAAAGATTATTTTGGATATGTGCATGCTTGTGAAATGTTCAGAATGTTGATTTCCACTAAAAGCTGTTGAGTTTGAAAAAAGTCACGTCTGTTACTTAAAATCAAATGTTTGACCTTGTTTGCAGTGTAGCTACTGTACGATAGGGCTTCACTATTAATACGTTTCGTATATAGAATGATTTTCTAGATATTTAAAGATGCTTTACATGACAAAAATATATTATTCTCAGTCTCTGGTTGTTTTTTTGGGGAAAGTTTAGAAGAATTAGATTTAGAAATTAGATAATTTTCCTGCACTTGAGCCCATTAATAAGAAACATTTCTTCATTGCTGATAAGCTAATATTCTATTATTATTGGTGAGACACTAGAATGAGTATTTTTTAATACGCACAGTCCTCTATATGAACATATAGTAAATGGTCACGTCACACCAGCAGAGTTTAAATTCATCCAGATAGTGCACATCATTTACCAAAATCCACATTTATTCATTAGTAACAGTTAAATCTTTGCAATAGTTCTTCTTTCAAAAGTATAAATTGAAATGTAAATATACAGTAGACAATATAGCTAAATTATTTTTTGGCACAATTACACAGTTTGCATCATATTATTATTATTATTATTATTTATATTATTATATACGTTTTTACTGCTTTGGAGTTTCCTCTTCTGTCGCAGTCGATCAGTTTTTATGTTAAACGTGGGGAGATTTCAGCATTTTCATAAATGTTTGCAATGTGATGATTTTATTTCTGAGCCTAGTTGTGCGTTGGAAAGTGTTCCCTAGAATTCCCTTTGGCTTGTCAGACCGCCAGCCGGACCTGCTGGGCTCTGTAGGTGTCAAAGTCCTCGGGAAGAGTGTCTGGAGAGAGAGAAACAACAGACATCAGACAACAAAATACATATGTAGGCTTAACTAAAATCTTCTTTTATTTAGTAATTAGAAGAGATTAATAATAGCGTTAAGTCTGAAAACAAATTGTTTGTGGCCACAGTCCTGTCTCTCAAACGGAAACCTGACTCACCGTTGCAGCGATAACGCAGGTTGGCCCAGATGATGTTCTCCTGGGAGAAGCAGAAGACTCCTAGACGACCTCCTCTCATTGTGGTGTCGATGATGACGCCTGTGTCCGCCACCATCTGAGGACCCTCGTAGAAACGAACTCTGCACACCAACAGAGAGCAGGTAGGTTAACAACACACAGCAAAGGATGGATTCATGATCCGTAGGTTTGTTCATAAGACAGGTTAGAAGCAGTAGGAGTGAGTATTTCTCCTCTTTTGGTGGAGCTTTTAGCAGTTTCTACAACCCTCCAGTCTTTGTGCTAAGCTAGGCTAAACATGACAAGAACTCACAGAGAGGAAATTGACCTCTAACTCGGTCAGTACCTGATGTAGCCATCAGCAGGTCGGTGTTGGAGGAACCAGCGGTAAGAAGTCTTGTCCTTCCAGCCAACATTGCGAGCATCTTTCCACAGGAGTTTGACCTGGTCACTCGTGTCGCCGGTGTGCCACAGGGCGTTCCTCAGGTTTTCACCTGGACCCGTGTTCGACTTGACAGCCTTTTTAAAAACCACAAATGACAAGAAGTCTGGCAGGGTGTCCACTCTGGTAACCCAAAGCTTGTTCTTATTAATGGCTTAGGAGGACCAGCTAACAATCTTAAATGTGAATATATAATTTTTAGACTACCTTCAGTTGGATGCCTGGTTCTGCCACGGCTCTGAACGGGTTTGCCTGCCAGTAGATCTGTTCCACCTGCTTCCACATCACCACGTAGAAACTGGAGCTGTCCTGGTACCCGAAGATGAATCCTGCGTAGTCGTCGTCCGTTACCGTGTTTACATGAAACGTCCCTTCAAAATCCACACCACTGAAAGCAGTGTAACCTGGTGGAGACATTGTTGCACACGGGTGTCACTGGATGTCTTAAAGGACCAAGAAGTGCTGTTTTAAAGTACAATGTTGAATTCATTTTAAGTGGAACAGGTTAGAAAAAGGCCTTAGATGGAGAGCCAGAACACCCATCCTCCCTATCAAATAAACATTTCCTGTTTGTGAAGAAAACTTTAAAGCTGGAAAAAAGATGTACCCATAATAATCTTAACTTTGTCCTGCAATTATAACAAACCATGTGTACTTTGCTTCTAATTTATTACAAACATAGAATAACCTCTAGTAATTGTCAGCATTTAAGACTCAGATACATCTGGCTAATAACCAGTTGCCTGCATAAGATGCTACAGCATTTAGTTACAAATCCCAAAGTTTCAAGGACCCATTTAAAACAGATACACTCATGATACTGTAAAGCACTTTAAGATTTTCATTTAAATAGCCAGACGTTTTGAAGAATACACATATTTGCTTGCTGAGCTATGAATAAATATGCTACTGCCAGCTGGCTTAGTTAAGCATAAAAACTGGACATGGAGAAACAGCTAGCAAACATCTTAATTTAGCTTTAGAGGTGCTGGCAGGCAGATTTTGTTACTTTTGGAAAGAATCAGGTACAAGAATTTCACTAGTGATGTTTCGACCAACTACAGGTTGTCCTCAGGTAAATACCCACAGGAAGATCATCATAATCATCTAATCACATTCATGTTTGTCTAGAGATTCTTGTTACAAGGAAAATCAAACACATGAATGTAAACTGACATACAAATATATTTCAAAGAAGAAGCACAAACTTCCAATCAATATTTTTGCTGTACATATCTCTCGTTTCCTTCCTGTGGGTATCTGTCTGAGGAAGACCTGCAGTTGGTTGAAATGTTGCTAACAACATTAAAGGGAGTTCCAGTGTCCAAGTACTCTCTGGATTGCAGTTTTATAGATTGTTTTGTATCCTGCTATTTTCCCACTGAGGTTTTGTGGATGTGAACACGAGTGCTCTATAACTTAGTGGCGTCAATCTTCTCATGTAACTCTCAGCAACAGAGATAATGGAAAAGCACTGAAGGTCCAGTGTGTAACATTTAGAAAGATCTATTTGCAGAAATCAAATATAATATTCATAGGTATGTTTTCATACACAAATAATCACCTGAAAATAAGAATCATTGTGTTTTTATTAACTTAGAATGAGCTGTGGGTGACGAATGTGATGGTTAGGCAAGGAGGTTGTGATCTGCAACTGCAGCGCTAGATGCCACTAAATCTTACATGCTGGTCCTTTAAATGTCTAACTATTCCTTTAAAACAGCATATTGATGCTCTTACCAACAGCCAAGCCAGGATCACTGTTCATAGTCTGGACAATCTCTCTTCCCTGCACAAACAAAACAATGAATTTAAGAGAAATGTAATCTGATTGATTGATCGATTGATTGTAGTATTGTGGGACAAAGACAGAACAGGAACAAACAAGTCACTTAACCTGGTTCAGCACCACCCAGTTGGGGTCGATCTGTGCGTCTCCCTCCGGATCTAAAACGACGGTCTGGTACTCCCTGAAGTCGGTTAGGGTGACCTCAGCGTTTTCTGGACAAACATCGATGGTGTCGATGATCGTGTCGTTGTCGAAATCCCTCTCGCATACATTACCCACGCCATCACCTGAGAAGATTAGGAGTCGTAAAGAGTCGTTAAGAACAAAACTTGTAAGAGAAATTAAAATAATTTCTACTGAAGTCATTCAGGGGTACAACCCACCGTTAGAGTCCTCCTGCAGAGGGTTGGGGATCAGACGGCAGTTATCAGGACCAGGTGGTAGCAAGTCTGGGATGCCGTCGTTATCATCGTCATCATCGCACTCGTCTCCCTTGCCGTCCTTGTCGGTGTCCAGCTGGGAACTGTTGATGACGGCTGGACAGTTGTCCCGAGAGTCTTGGTGACCATCACCATCACTGGACAAGAGAGACTTTTACTGGCACAAGCACATTACACTAACTTGTTACACAGATGGTTAAGAATAAATATATGTGATGTGATCTATGAGGTCACACAGTACCTGTCCTTGTTGGTGTCGCAGGGGTCTCCAATCAAGTCGTTGTCCACATCCGTCTGAGAAAGATACATTTTTTGAATATGAAACTTGGAGTGCATGACTTCTGCATCACTGCAGCAAGGTGATGAGCTGAACCATTATAGGTTGGCAAAAAAGTCTTTCTATTGTTAAGTTGATTTTTAAGCTTTTTCGTGCACTTTAGCCCCTGAAAAAGGTATTAATTTTTATTTATTTATCCAAGGGATTTTCATCCTTTTTTACAATGTAAGTATCTGTGTTTTGGTGGGGCTCAGTTGGAAAGTTTCAATTTGTGAATGACTGAATGCCTATATTCAAATTTCAAATTTGATAAAACCACAACCACACATTCCAGATGAAGCAGATTAGTTGAGTGTTTGACTGTTACTCCACAATTATACCTTTTTTTCTCAAACCTTAACTTTAATTGTTGTATATTTAGTCATGAATCACTGGTCGGAAGAGTTAAACCTGTACAGTATGAGCTCACCAGACTTAAAAATTACTCTTGAGTTACATTTTTTATACATGTTGAAGACTCGTCTGTAACCAGAAGAAAAGGAGCGTTCTGACCTGGTCAGGGTTTGGAACATAAGGACAGCTGTCGCAGGCGTCTCCCACTTTGTCTCCATCACGATCTTTCTGGTCAGCGTTGGGAACCCTTTGGCAGTTATCCAGGTGATTGGGGATTCCTGATAATAAAATGGGCCTCAGTGAATGTTTAAGTAACTTATCGTACCCATCTGCCTTCCTCTTAAAGCGCCAACTGAACATAATTCATATTACAGGCCTCTCTTATGTTAGTGTTTACAAATATTGGTCCAAATTCCTCAAAATTTCAGCTACTGTTCATAACTCAAAACATCAATACTAACTGTATTATCACTGTAAAAAAAAAAACATGTAGAATACTAACCGTCCCCATCAATGTCTTCATCACACTCATCACCATATTTGTCCACATCCGTGTCTTTTTGGTCGTTGTTTTTGACGGCACGGCAGTTGTCGCAGGCGTCGCCAAAGTCGTCCTCATCGATGTTCCTCTGGTCCACATTGGGCACCAACACACAGTTATCCTGTAGAGAAGCAGTTTTAGTCTCTGTAAGGACAGTGAGATGAGAACCCCAGATACACAGGCTATTCATTTATTTTTATATCACATCACTGTCTTTTAGGTATGAACCTGTGTGTTAGGGATCCCATCCCCATCTGCATCGTCATCACAGGCATCTCCAATCCCATCACCATCGGCATCTTCTTGACCAGAGTTGGGCACAGTGAGACAGTTATCCTGAAAAGAAAAAACACTCCCAGTTAAAACAGACTACAAGAGGGAAAACTAAAATCAGATCCTTTCAGTGAACAGTGTTTGATATATAGTATAGTTGATATATAACTAAACTAAAAGTTTTTGCTTTGAATTTTGGTGTCTTATGATGGTCAGATTGTTCTTTCTAATGCAATTTAAACCCCAAACTACAGCCTTAAAAAACCTTGAAGTCAGTACCTTTCTGACAAAGTGTGAGCAAAATGTAACTTTATAAGGTACAATTTCTCACCATGTATCACAAAATACAGCATATATTTAAAAAAAAAACTATATAAGATATATTTTTTTCTTTGCAGATGACTAAATCATTTATGTTATCATTTATGCTTATGATGCTTGTGTCTTTTCGTCACAATTTTTCAAAATTGTATATATATATATACAGTATATTTAATTTATATATGAATCTAAAGGAGACTCACCTTGTTACAGTTACTCTCAGGACAGTCCAGTTTCGCATCGGGGAAACCATCAATGTCAATGTCAGGCCCGCAGAGATAGCCGTTGCCAGCCCATCCGACTCCACACTATGAGGATAGATAATGTTTTATGTACTGTACAGACTATTTTATTTGGCCCTGTTGTGTACTGCATATAGTATCAGCTGATGGTAAGTGCTTAAACAGACCTTTGATTTCACAATATCTGGCACACATACTCAGAGTTGTATACTTCAAAGAGTTGGGTCAAAAATATTTAAACGGCTTTGTCATATGTTTAGCAGCTTTGACAGACTCTGTAAATTCTATATTTAAAGCTGTGCTTTAATGCCTTGCTATCTAATTTAGAAGGACTTAAAAAATGTGTGTCTAAAGCTGTTTATGTTGAGATTTTTATGTGAAAGTAGCCTATGCATATCAGAAATTGGGGCTGTAACACATAAATACTACACCATCTCAACCTATCATTAGCACAAATTAATTTACATTGTCTTAAGTCCCTGTTAGAATAGAATAACTCAGCACAGAGAAGCTACTGAAGCCCCCTTTCTTTTTGAGAATTTGAAACCCAGAACATGAACTAGACAGCTTAATTTATTCACCTGACACTCGATTATACCCTCTCGGTGGACGATGCACTCAGCGCTGGCGTGGCAGGGGTTGGGTTGGCCATTCCCACAGGCTCTCTCCGGCTTACAGCCACGTCGCTGATCTCCAACATAGCCCGCCAAACATGCACCACACCTGAATGAGCCCTAATGACACACAGAGTAAACAGACCCATCATATCTCTAATAAGGGCGAGCATCAGTCTATGTTCCTACGTATGTATTGCTGTGATAGAACTTCCAAAGACTGTACTGCGCAGCATAAGGGAGAAACTGTGCATCATCTTGGATTTTACTTGGGTTATACAGACTGACATTACAGGACTATCCGTTAAAGCCTGTGTTTTTGTTTGCTGCATTTTCAAAACATGATCTCTGGTGCAAAATGTTTTCTTTTTAGATTGCAGCAGCAACAATTCAGCAGACATTCATCAAATAATCTGGTGTGGCTCAAAATTGGTAACACACAGCGTGACATGCAATTAACGTGCAAGATCGCTGTTATTGCAGTGTAAAGGGACTTTCAAGGGCACAGAAGTTATTATTCTAAAATTTAGTTTAACATTAGCAAAAGTACAGAAAAGTCATAAAAATGGGGAACTAAAAACAGAGTTAACAACAACAGCTATCAACTTTTCATTTATAAGAGGATTATTGGGTTATTTCTTCTTTGAAAGGTTACATAGTGTCGCTTTAATTCATGTTTCTGTTACTTTACAGCTGCCTTTGCCTTTCACACCAATGAGTTTGTATATTTAATCTCATTTTTTTCCATTGAGGAGCTTAACAACCACTAAATGCCTGAAATGGTTGCGTCCCTCAGATAGCACTTCAGTAACATGATGTGATCCTGCAAAACTTTAAAACTCCAAATGCACTGAAGTCAGTTTTTATGGGCTACAGGGTACTCTATAGCAGCAGATTTCCTGCAAAGGTGACAGTCAGTAATTTATCTTAAGTAGTGTTTATACTCACAGGAGTGTTCATGCAGACTGAGTTCACCACACAGCCCCCATTGTTGAGGCCTTCACACTCATTGATGTCTTTGCACACCTTGATAGGACAAACAGACAGAAAAAAATTAAGTGTAGCAGAGTGAAGACAGTCCTGTATTGAGGATTAGGGCAGTGCAGACCAGTGCACACTGTTTGACATACTGTATGTACAGAGGAGAGTGAGGAGGTGTTGCTGAGGAATGTAGAAAGGAGGTGGTGAGAAGCAAAGACAAACATGATGAGGTGCTGAGAGGAGACTTTCTTCTCCCCCGGGTTTTATCAAAAACAATCTCAAATAGAGATGATATTTGTCTTGAATTCTTTCCTTAATTCAGACTTGATACGTTTTAGAGGTTCTAAGGTTTAATGTTACTTTATTTGGACCCATAGGTAGATTTGGTTTGCTGTACAAGACAAGGCATTACTCTTGACAAAAATATAAAAACAACGAACAACTTAGACAAGAGACAAACATAATAAAAACAGGATAAAGATAAAATATAAAAGTGTCCAGGCTCTCAAAATCAGAGAGAGACCAATAAAAACCACTAGAATAAATAAGGTAAAAGCAAGAAAAACTCTGTGATGTGTTACTACAACTTGTTAATCTGAATGATAGCTGCAGGAACAGCTATTTTTATACTGCTTTGATCTACATCTTGGGACTATAAACCTCTGTTCAGAAGGAAGAAGCTGAAATTCACTGTGCAAAGGGTGGGAATCGTCATTTAATTATTGAGCTGGTTGTCCGCTGTAACTGTCTGGTGTACAGGGATAAGCTGTGACTCACCAGTCAGCCTACTAGACCATATAACAATTTGACTGACGGAGTTTCTGTTCTTTAGAGAAAGGATTCCAAACACAGAAGAAAAGGATAAAATTGATTCAATAAACACACGATAATACAAGGTCCTCATGGTTTAGTCAGAGTGGAAATAGGACAGTTTCCTTAGACAGAACTAACGCTGAGCAGTTACTGTAGGAGACTATAAGACCTAATTCCACTACTAAACACAAGTCTTTCGATTTTGTAATATATAAAAATTATTGTAATTTAAATGTGTTATAGAGTCCTAGTTCATTATTCACAGACACTGACCTGTTTGTTGGCGGTGGCGTAGGCGAGGCCGACGCCCTGGACCTGGGGGCCAGTGTATCCAGCAGGACAGGAACCACAGCGGAAACCTGGGGAGGTGTTTATACAGCGCACACCCATGTGACACGGCATCACAGTACACTGTTGACAACAGAGATACAGAAACACACATTAAGACGTTCATCAAGAATAACACATTTTTCTTTTAGGTCAACATATGGGAGTTTACTAATGACAATCTAATTAGTTTTGATATTAAAGATCCTGTATACCCACTCAGGCTGATTTTTTAAGTTTAAACTAAAATCATTTTACTAGTATCCCCTCCGTAGTGACATATATGTCTGCGTACCTCATCCACATCAGTGCAGTGGGTACCGTTGCCCTCCATGCCTTCAGGACAGTGTCCACACTTTATACCCTGAGGTGTGACCGTACATTTCACCCCTGGGTGGCAGGGGTTGGGCACACAGGATGGACGAGGCTGCATTCCTCCCATCCCTGAGGAGAGAGAGAAGATCAACCATTATTGTTCCATTGTTTTTCAGTATTATTGTTTATATCTTAAAAGTCTGAAACTAGGCAAGACATAGAGTCATAAACATAAATCATTGAAGGAGCTGTTCAAAAACAGTGTTGAAAGGTATAAAAATTAGCTGTCACCATCAGTGTAAAACCTAAACTTCAAATTCAAAATATATGTAAATAGAACAATGTGTGTATTGTAGTACAAAATCGCTGGTCAGGGTTTCTGTTCAACTCACCACACGCTTCACACTCCATTACGGTGTTCTTCAGAAAAACTATCTCTTTTATCTGGAAAATAGAATCAAATGATGAAGTTTTATTATTAAACTGAATCTAATGAACCATTTTAATACATGGAGACTTGTTCACCCTGTTCATTTTTGAGGACTGAGGAGCTTTTAGAAGTAGAGCCCTCTGGTGTAAAGTGTAAATATAAAGGAGTTTATTTAAAATCCTCAAAATCTAAATGCATTGGAGAATAATTTATTTTAATTTTATCTGCAAACATAGACACAAAGATACTATAAGCAGCCCAGTCTGTGTGCACACATACGTATGTTTAGATACACAAAATGTAGCTAACCAGCTTTATGAACAGATACGTATTAGTCATTGCTCACTCTCTTTTTTTTACCTGTTGTTTCAGAAGCTCTTTAATCTCAGCCAGTGCGAGGTTCGTCATTTTAATCTGACTAATAATTTCTCCATCTGAAAATAAAAAATAAGGAAAACAGTACAATAATATCAAGAGATAGACAACACAACCACAGGTATACTAATACATTGTTAAATATGGGTACAATATGACTTGGGATGTAATCTTAAAGGGTTAAAAGGGCATTTTTCATTTCATCTGGACTTTAAGTCAGATCTTTAAGCACAGTGTATAAATACTTTGTAGCTGTAGTAGGTAGAAGTATTAGCATCAAAATATACTTAAAATACAAAAAGTAAATGGCCAAATCAGAACAATGTACATTACTTTATTGTATTAAACTTTAATGTTGCATCCGGTAAAAGTATTTTTAGTATATATACTGCTGGATATCTTGTGAATTTCCCCCGGGGACCAGAAATATATTTTTTCTTTATACTTTGTATTATTAATCTGATCATGTAACTATAGGTATCAAATAAATATAGTGCAATAAAAAGTACAATATTTTGCTGTGAACTGTAGTGGAGTAGAAGTATCAATGGTAGAAAATAGAAATAGTAAAGTACAAGTACACACACACAAAACAAACTGGTATAAAGTTTTGTCTTTTCATTGAGCTCATCAGTCTTCCTGTTGCTCCAGAAGCTCACTGGGAGGCAAATATGGACATCATGCATTGAGGGGGGAGGAGGGGAGAACACAAATGTCCCCCTGTACAACATGATCCACTGCCTGTCAAATACCAAAGTCTAATACCTGACGTTCCTCAGCCACCGCAGGCCATTTGTATCCACAGCCCACGCATTCACTGGAGCACAGAGAGGTTCTGATTGCAGCTGCAGAATGATTTTCCAGATATGGAATGATACAAGATTTTATGGAAGAAAAGCTTGTGTGCTTACAGTAACTAAAGTCTGCCGGCGACTTTGAGTTTCTACAGTGTAAAATAGTAAGTGCTGATCTGGACTTTTGATGCTGATTGTCAGTCAGTCAGTCAGTCAGTTTACTGACTTTATGGCTTTTCTCTAACTGTGCTAACTGTCACATTATATTTATACACAAATAAACACTTCAATGGTTTTACAAAAGTATGAAATCACTTCTTATTTACTATAGTCCACTGTATTTACTGTCCACCATTTTATTTCAGTGTTCAAAGAGTGTGTACATTAATGCAATGTGTCACATTTAATAGATGTGTAAATTAAGAGTTCTTTGACACTACAGCTGTGAGAGAAGACACAGCAACCTTTAGGGAGTAGTGAGTTAACCTGACTCTTAAAGCAGCAACAATGAACTTTCATTTTTTTGTTGTTTCTGGTGGCGCCTGCAGACAAACTGGCAGCGTTTCTATCGTTGCGTTTCAGGAATCAAGAATCTTCTTGTTGATGGTCTTGTGTGCTTATGTGGGTCACATAGAGGCTTCATAACCAGTTAGAAACTCCTTGTAGGTTTAAGTAGCTCACTTTTAATTTGTTCATGAGAATATCGGTGACTTGTTCTGAAGCCTGCTTGGCTTAAAAGGAAGTGGTGTTGACTTAGTTCAAGTTAGTAAAGTTCACTTTAAATCTGCAATAACAGATTTTGTGGCAGCAGAAACAAGTTATGAACAATTACGTATCAGAGAGGGAAACATCTGTCTCTTTAGCTGCTAACTGCTCCCCTGCTCACCAGCCTGTCTCTAACTGTCTGCCTGTTGTCTGGTGCTGATCAGGTGAAACCCGCACTATGAGAGCGGTGAGAGGGAACCAACTGGACTAGATACTCTGGGATACTCAGGTGTGGTCAAATCCTGAAGCAACACTCCGCTTGTACTAATTGACCAATCATCCCCCCCACCGACCACCCCTTCCCCCAGAGGAGTCGTACGAGGGCAGAAATCTCCTGAGCATGAAGCGCAGGAAATGTGGTCTTCGCATTAGCAGCAACTCTGTTTACTGAATGGATTCCACAGCAGAAACAAGAGATACTGGAAATAAATCACTCTCACTGCTAATAGGAAGGTAAATGAGATGTTGTTTTTCTACAACAGAAAGCTCACAGTGATTGTTTTTCCTCATTGTGTGCAAGTGCAGTTGGGTTCTCTGAAAAGCTTTGCACAGAAAACCTAAACACCTCTGAGCTCTTGAACTCCTAAACAAGTCAAATACATTATGAGATACTGATGAAAAATTAACGAAATTAAACGCATTTTCTTAACAAAACTATAATTATTATTATTTTCTTAGGCATCTTTGACATTTTGCTTTTGCTGCTTCTCAATTTTAACAATTTCTGCACTATAATTTTGGATTGAATAGTCAATTTACATACATTCACAATGTTAAATAATTCATATAAATAGTTTATACAAAAGCCTGAATGTATTTTGGTTGTTCTTAATTGTTTTTAGTACTTATTTGCTACTGATGTGCCGTGCACTTTAATTTGAACAGCACTTTGGTCAACTCTAATTGTTTTAGATCAGTCAAGTTTCATCCTCTTGTTTCCCAAAGCAAAAATAATCCAAAATACTCACCTCTCTGTCCTGCTGCAGCGTGTCTTCCTATGCAGAGCGCACAGGTCATCACCAGAAACCACAACATGGTTGAATCTGTGCTGCAGATGCTGTTCAGGTACAGCAGCTTCATCTCTCCTCTCTCTTCTGCCTTTAGCTCTCTCTTCTCTTCTGCTCCTCCTGCAAACCTAGTTCCAGCAGTCCTTTCTCCCCTTGCTTTTGGTCTTTATACCCCATCCTCACACCCACCCTCCACCTCCCCCTCACTGGCTTACATTCCCGTCCTTTCCCCTAAAACTCCTCTGCAAACCAAAATTTGGGGAAGTCCAGCAAATGGAAGTAGGAGTTTTATTGCACAATACTTAACACAACCTCATATAATACATCAGCTTCTGTGTTTTAATTTTGGGCCCTAATTTTACCACGTTGGTTGTTAATACTTTTAAACTAAAAAACTATTATCTGGTCTATATTTGACTAAAATGTCTGAATGTACTTATTTTATTGTTTGTCCAATGAAAAAGTAAACTAATAGTTGTTTTTTTTACTTTTTCATAGTAATCTTCGTCTTCTGCTGTCTCCATACACACTCAAGTTTTTAATTATTAGTAAATGAACATTTTGAGAAGTAAAGCATGATGTTTATAAACAACATTTGTTTAAACACATTTGTTTTACGTACTGCATTACACAGTAACCATTATTTCTACGAGCCGATCAGTAGCCACATTTCCTGATTATCAGTAAAACTGGGGTTAAAAAATGTTTACAAAGATACTACGTTTCCTTTTTATTAGCTTCTGACATCTGAATGAAGTATCACAGAAAGAAACACAACTCACTTTTTACATAAAATCAGAAAATAGGCTTCAGATCCAGTGCGGATTTTACAATAAACCCGTTTACGAGTTTATGATTACAACTCTGTGTGTGTGTGTGTATGTGTGTCTGTCAGTAATGGGATCGACAGATGTCGGTTACATTCCTGGCAGTGAAGGTTTTTCGTCCAAATCACCTTGATAAGCTCTCACCACCTCCACTCTCTTCGTCCCCGCCTGCACGCTGCCTTGCCCAAAGGGGCAGGGAAGTCTCACTCCGGGCCTTCACTGGAAAAACAAACATAGCAGCTCGTTTCTGTCGTCATGCTGGAGAGCTGTTTTATTCTGACGTGGAAGAACTTTTCAACATCTCTGAGATCTTTCTTCTCCCCTTTACACTGCAGGGAGAAAGACATTAATTTAATCCTAACTTGTTAAATAATATCTGGTTAATCAAATCCTGAACAGGTTTCCCATTCAGTCCCTTTTGAGGTTGTTAAAATGATCTTATTCCACACTGTCTGACTGTATCATATATGTTTTTATCAGCTTATTCCAGCTTTGGTGTCTAAGCTTTATGATGTTTATATTCAAATCAAAGACTGATGTGTTTTTTTAGCTACACATTTTAAACAAAAGGAAATATTTTTAATGTTTTTTGCACAATTTTAGACTATTTTTAGATCTGCTATATTACATTAGAATTTAAAATAAAGTAAGTTTGTTTTTGAACCCACCTGGCAGGCTTTGTGGCATTGTAGGTAATGTAGGCACCAGGTTTTAACAAAGAAGAAGAATGCATGGAATAAAAAGGACAATCTGTTTTGTCTGTTTCCGTCATGGGTCCGACCATTGCCAGATCAGTGGATTATTGAGTTAAATTGTTGCTCAATTGAAATATTGAGTTTAAAATGATCAGCACCACATGGTTGCTGTGTTGCTGCCATCTAAAGTTCAATGTGAGATCCACACTAAGAACAAGTCTCTCAGTCCTGTCTATCATCTTGATGAAAATGTGTCAATTAAAATGCTAAAATTTTGACATTTTCAGATACTTACTGTATTATTTTAATTAGTTTAGAGGTAATCTTTCTGTTGTGATTTATAATCTTGAGGTATTCCAGTTCTGTCTTTCACTTGCACCTTCACTCATCCCATAATTTAAACCAAAGTCATCAATAGAGGATGAAGTCCATCTTCGGACTGCGTCCTGTGTCCTGCTTAAGCTTCAGAGATGATTTCTGTATGTGAGCTCTAGCAGAGCAACAAACGTAAGCAACAGATTTCTTACCTCCCCGATCGTCTCTGCTGCTGTGAGGAATGTTAAGGTTAAAGGTTGAGTGTAACAACCTCCTGCAAAGTTCATTAGTGATGCTTTATTGCCTGCACTACAAGAGTCTGTCAGTGCGGCAGGGACATGACCTCGAGTTGACCTCAGACCTTTCCTGTCACCCCCCAACAGCCTCAGAGTTACATAACAATAGACAAACGTAGTCCTGACTGTCATTCTTGGAACGGTGTCGGTCTTAAATGCATCTTAAAAGGTGGAATTATAGCATTTTTTTTTACTACAGTTAATAATAAGTGCAATGCATAAACACTTTTAAGTCTCAGATCTTAAAAAAATATATTTTAAAAGAGCTCCAGAGTGAGACTTTTATAACCAAGTCACCAGCAGATGGCTGAATTACGGCACAAAGAAACAGGCTTCACACTTTCCAACAGAGAGATATAAAAGATATGAAAAAATATTATGGAAAAGGATAATGACAAGTTAATAAAAAGACACAAGGTCTGCTCCAGTTCCTGCACAACATTAAAAAGTTAATATCATAGATTTGAAGATTGATTCTGAATTTTGGTGAATTTGAAAGCTTGTTTAAACTTGTACATTTGCTTAAGAGAAGTACTTACTTGAGTTTTTTAATGTTACTTTTACATTTATTATTTTACACAAAACAAATAATAAACTTCTCAAATAGTAAATGAACTTGGCGATTTAAACTACATGCCACATTCACACAGTTTCACACACCGATTAAACAGCACTGACCATTAAAAACCTAAAAAACAATCAGTTTCACTTTGATCAAACATCTGAAATAGATTCTACTGTTGTAAAATGTAATATCATGATACACACTGCTTCATCTTAAACTTTATTACTTCTGAATAGTTCAAATTGAAACAAATACCAATAATAACCACCAAGACACATGTTTCTCTTGATTTTATTTAAAGACATGAAGTTGTCCTCACCTCAATGTAAAAAGCAGCGATGTTCTTTCACTTTATGCTTTATTCACATTTGAATTTCCAATTGAGAGTCTGATGAATTTGTATTTTCTATTTCTTTCTGAACTGAAATAAGGTTTGGTGGACTTCAAGAAAAACCACTGACACTCGGTAACACAACTACTGATGTGGAACAGAGGCCATGCAGCTCCTAAACGTGGATCCCCACACAGTGTTGAGCACAGATGCAGATGTTCACAAACGTAAATAAATAGGTTTAAGTGTCCAGGTCAGGTTGAAGTGTGAAACATTTGCTGTGGTATTTACAGAGTCCTCGTACTGTGTAAAATGCAGAAAGCACCATGTTGCTCTAATAGAAAGGGTCTCATTTGGTAAAACATCAAACTGCCCCTTTACCTAGAAAGGAATGGGAAGTCCCATCATGTGGAGGCCATGATGGGGGCGAGTCAGATGCAGTTTCAGCGGTGCAGCGTGGCGTCCTACTCGGCTTTCTTGGCCTTCCTCTTGCGCGCACCATCGCTCAGCTCCTCCTTGGTTTTGAGAGGTGAAGATGGGGCAGCGGCGGGAGGGTGGTGGTGGTCTTCCTCAGATCCACCCAGAGGGGAGCCGAACAGCAAGTGGCAAACCCAGGACTCGATGAGGGCGAAGGGGGAGCCATGAGAGTGTCGGGCGGTCATCACCACCTGGAGGAAGATGGTGTTAGACAGAGGTTTCCAAAGTTTCCCATGCCAAATACTACATACAGTAATGTTTTTATAAATTATATTTTATAATAATACCCATTATAATCGGGTAATAATCAGGTCATTTTATTCATTTTTATTATTTTTTAAAGCATCTTCCCTAAACATTTCTGAGGCCCCCCACTTTGAAAAACAGTGAGTAAGAGGAGATCAGTATGATTTTATGATAACTAACCGATCATGTTACAAACTGGGGACATGGAGTTTGTAAAATGTAGAGGTTAACTGGGCAGGGGCATTCTGGGAATTGTAGGATGAAGCATTTTCAGAGCTTAACTCCTACCAGGGACAAAAATATCAGGATATTTCAAGCTCTGCTGTCTATTTTGACCATTTTGATCTGTTTTGATCTGTTTTTAAACGCGTCTCTCCAACTTCTCGTGACAAATAAGTCAAAGTGGTGTGTTTCATTCATCCTGTATAGTGCAACTCATAATTTCAAGTTTAAAATGCCCCAGAAAAGCAAACACTGTCAACAACGCTTCACACAGCTGATCTCACCTTGCTTGAGGCCATAAAGAAGGTGAAGGCGAGGATGAGGGTGCTCTTGGACACTGGCAGCCAGTGAGCCTCCTGCATGGTGAAGAGGATGGCTCCGTACAGACTGGCTTTGGTTGGGCTGCAGAGACGAGAGACAAAACATCTGTAAAACATCTGACTGCGGCAGGGAACAGGGTACCACTTCTCTAGACCAACATACATCTCTCACAAAGACTGAAAACATACAATTCTACTATTATTATTTTTTGCGTTTTCATTTATTTTGAATGTATAATTGTTGTAGTTGAATCTTTTGAGTGAAGTTTGAACGTTTCTCTGTAAGTTTAACAAATTAAATACAATCCAGGTAGTTTTTCTTATAGTGGACGAGAGATTTTCATCTGTCAGTGACATTGTGTAAATGTGGCGCAGTAAAGACTTTGATTCTACCACCAGGTGGCACAAAAGTCACAACTCTTCTACACATGACTTCAACAAACCTGCTGTGTTTCTAGAAAAAGTCTGGCAGTGTTTTGTGTCCAGCTTTTTGTCACCATAACTTTTAAGTCCTGGTTTTGTCAACATGCTTGAGGAGGCAGCGGTGAGTACATTTCCCCCGTCAGCAGCAGGAAAACAGACTTACAATGACATGTTGAGGATCTCGTTGGTTTCGGGCCTCCACACACCGCGCAGCAGCTGCTCAAAATTGGAAATGAGAGCCACTCCAGACCCTGCGAAGATAAAAATAGACAGTGGAAAAATGAGGACAAAAAAGTCTCTGTGTCTCGTGTGACTGCTTTTATCTGGCTTCAGCTTTTCTCTCCTATTTTCAACGTGGATGCCTGCAGGGCCCCACTGTTGAAACAGCAGGGGGCAAAACCAGGACAACCATTTATATAGGCCTATATTTCTACACGTCTCTACTATCTGAGTGAAAACAGTTCAGGAAATCTATGGTTTGTGTGTGCAGGTTTTAAGATATTGTACACTTACATACAGTCGAGCATATATATGATTCCTCCATCATTTAAAAGCAGTTCTGGGATCAAACATAAAATTTTTTCTTTCCACTTTCTTCATTTCTAGAAGTCAAACTAAGCTGAACTGACATTCTCCAGTTACCCACGTATCCTGGTTTCTCTGAGTAACCTGGCACTGTCTCACGTAAACATGAATGAAGGGCAGCACATGTGCTCACTGACATGAACATGTGCTGCCGTTCATTCATGTTTAAATGTGGCAGCTGTGTAGTTTCCTGAAGGTGTTGCTCTCTGTCACTCACTGAATGCAGCTGTCAACACCAAGCTGTATTGAAGCTGCTGTGTGAAACAATTCATTAGATCTATCAGCAAATAGTAATCTAATATTCACTGGTATGTTTTCACTGGAAAATAAGAATCGTTGTGCTTTTTTGTTTAGAAAGGGATCTGCAACTATGCTACTAGATGCTACTAAATCCTACACACTGTGCCTTTAAAGAAACAGCAATAATTAATCAATAAGTGGATCGAAAAATAATCAAAGGAAATATATTGATAATTAATTATAATCGTTTTAGTACTTTTTCAAGCAAACATTTGTTAGTTTCAGCTTCTAACTTGTGCTTTTCTTTGTCTCATGTGATAATAAACTGAATATTTTTATTTAGGTTTTGGAGAGTTTATCTGACAAAACAAGTTGACATCATCTTTGGTTTTAGGGAATTGTGATGGTCACAATTTCTTTTTTTCTTCTTTTAATTGACTAATTAAACCCAAATTTAAACATGATTAACTTTTATGCCTCATCTGTCTTTGCTAATCTGAATAATTGAATATTGTTGTAACCATATAAAGACATTTACAACAACGAATGGAAGGAAATCACTGTGGAATCACCTTTGACGTATCCAACGATGACCATGATGAAGTAGCCGTGGTGGTAGGCGTGGCTGGCGTGGTGAACACCGGCGGCGATCTTACGAGTGCGGACGACTTCCTTCAGGGCGACCAACACCAGCTTGACGGGCAGGAAAGCCACACATTTATAGAAGAGGTTCAGTGGGCAGTAAAAGACGAGGTACCTGTGTTTGTATTTGACACAGACGGAGAAAGATGGTGGAGAAAAAGATGTTAGAGTGGAAGAAGAATTAAATATTCAGCTTTAAGGTCACTCAAATCACAGAAATGCTACTTTTCTGTCTAGAAAGATACGTTTTTGGTTGCCATGGTTTAGAGAAATCTACCGTTAAGATTTCTGCTGTCTTAATTTTAAAAAAACTTGTTTTATTCTGTTCTATTAGATTGTATTGTGTTGTAAAGCATTTCTTTGTATTAGGTCAAAAACCTGTGTTTGGTAAGATGAAGTCTCAGGAATCTCCCTCTGATAATATTTAGTTATTCCTTAACTCTTTAAAGTGCAGATTAACAGTGAAAAGTGTGAAAACCTATGAACAGTCATTATTTTACATTCTTTCATTGGGATAATAAGTACATAAAATTATACTGAAATTAAAATATTGCCCATTATTCTGGGGAACTCCTGGAACCACCTCAAGGTCCTCAAGACCCGAGGTTGAGAAACAATAATGTGAAGAACTTTGCCTATGACTTAAGAATATTTATTAGAAATACTCCATAGAACATTTCATCTTCCTTTTTTAAAACTTTTTGTAGAAAGCGGTGTCACTGAAGTCTGTAGATTATCCTGATTGACTTGAATATCATATTGTTTCAGTAAGCAAGTAATTTTGCATTGCTTTAAACCCTTACAACCAAATTTAATGCACCTGTTATGATATTTTACAATCAGCAGCTACAGCTGACGATATGTGGGGGACATGAACTGATCTTTTAAAGGACCAGTGTGGAGGATTTAGTGGAAGATTGCAACTAACTGAATACCACTCGCCTTCCAATTGTGTAGGAGAAACTACAGTGGTCACGAAACTCACAAAAATTCTAAAGGACCAATCTAGAGCCAGTGTTT